ACATAGATGATTGAAAGGAAAATTACAACTGGCTTGATCGCTAAAACATTATTTTTATTTCGAACAGGAAAAATTCTTCAGAAAAATATTTTTGCTTAAATTGGTACCACATCAAGAATGCTAGACGCGCTCGACGATTTCTGTATACGCAGTTTACCATTATGATCTTTGTTGCTGATCTTTGTTTTAATCATGAGCAGCGATTAAACTAAAGATTTTGCAGTGCAGAAAAACTGCAGGGAAAGAATGATGTAGCAAGCTGCAGAATGACGTAAAATGGTTCAAAGCGTATCCTTGAAGCAAGGATGTGTTTAATTAAAACTTACGAATTCAATGGTCTATTGCCGATTGGTTCCAATTAAATTTAATAATTTTGTTTCATATTTTATATTTACACACACATATATATATGTCTGTAGAATAATTAAATGAAAAGTTATCTCCTATGAAATATGAAGTGAAATTAAATAGCAAATGTGAAAATTAAAAATTGGAATTCGTAAAAAATTAAATTGGAATCGTTAATAATAATAATAAAAAAAAAGACATTGCATTTACATTATAATGCAAAAATAATGACTAAAATTAAGAATAAAAACAATGTAAAATCCATACTTCAATTCTAATTCTAAATTTCTATTCAATTTTATAAAATTCCAAATCCAAATCTTAAAATGGCTCAGATATGTGAAATGAGTGGGGATCTTTCTATGGAATCAGCAATAATTCTATTGTTTTTCGTCTTTATTTTTCCGTTATTTGAGTCTTTACTTTTACTTTTTTTTTTTTTATTAACGATTCTAATTTAATTATTTACAAATTCCAATTTTTACAATAGTACACATTTACTAATTTCACTTCACATTTCATAGGAGATAAATTTTCCATTTAGTTATTCTCTATAAATTTTTTATTTGCAATAATAACGCAGGATTTTACTTTTTAAATAAATTTTGAAATTCATTAATTTTAAAGAAGAATCAAAAGGATTCAGCAGGTTTATAAATAAAAACAATAACAAATATATAAAGCTTTGTAAAAGTAAGCCTAAGTAAGGAATATATTGATATTTTGTTGGAATGTTTTAAAACAGAGAAAACTTTTATTTTTAAAAAAAGTTTTTTCAAAACTCTTCTAACTTAAATTTCGTAAATTTAATTTATTTTCTGTATGAAATGTTTATTTATGAACAACAAGAATAAGGATAGTAATATGTGTTATATATTAATGCATAAGCCCGTAATTTTGTGCACGAATTCAGGAAATAATGCTACAAAATAAAATGGTATAGCTTCAGAGCATATGAGTGATTAAGTTCTTTTTATTTCATTTGGTTTCAATAAAATCTACAGGCCTGCCGAGAATTAGAAGCGAATCAAAATCAAAAATCGCTGAAGAAACCGCTGAGCACATCGAATAGTCAAAGTAATATAATTCAAGAGAACATCTCTTAAGAGATAACAAAGAAATTCGAATGCATTGATAGATTCTGGGCTACTAATTCGTATTCACTTTCAGTGCTACTCTTGAAACACTGGTCATATTTCTGCAAAATAAATTCCATTGAATAAGGAGATTCGTTCCATATTTCCACTTCAGTTCTCTTCGAAGGTTAGCAAGAGATATCACCTTTCCTGTGCGTGACTGCAGCTGGAATGCGTGACTGAAATTCTAAAGCTCCAATTTTAGTCAAGAACTGCATAAAAGATCTAGACTGCAGGCTTTTCTTGATACTTAAACTAAGAACTTATCTTTTCACAAAGCTGTCAAAAATCAGTCAACTTTCGATCAAATTTTAGTTTGTTTTACTTAGAACTCTCGAAATTCAAGTTCGGCAAGTAATAAATTACATGGTTGTATTGATAAAATCTTTTAAGTGTTGCTGTTCCTGCACATAGATTTAGGTTTATGTTATAATTATAGTTAGATATTTAGGTTATAACTGTAGTTAGATATTATAGGGGTTTTAGGTTACAGTTATAGTTCTGTTTCTAGGAATTTTTTTTTTTTTTTTAAACAGAGAGCAAATAGTTTAAATGATAGAAATTAAATCACATTAGTTGGGAAATTTGAATATCCAGACTAGTATGTCATTTATTAGGATATATTCACACTATGGTTTATATTATAATAATATCATATTTATAAAAAGGCTTCTGAGTAGCCGAATGCATAAAATCACTGAATATTGGTATTTCGATCTTAGTACGAGAGCTGCTTGATCTATATGATTTTTTCATGCAAAAGGTAAACATAAGTCATTTTACAGAAATTCCCATGAAGACATTCCTTCTCCTATGCAGATAACTCTTGAGTGCTTTGCCATGTTCAGTTAAATAAAAAAGAAAACGTTAGCGTCACAAATTTCAGTATCATAAGAATTTAGAAATGGAAAAAATCTTAGAGATTCACAAAGTTTCTTTCTTTCTTTCTTTCTTTTTTCTTTTTCTTTTTCTTTCTTTTCTTTTTTTTTTTTTTTTTTTTCCAATTTGCAAGGAAAAAGTGCCGTGCTGTCACAATGAACTGCTAGAACAGCTTCATTTTTAATACAATAAAAGATTCGCTTGTCAGATTCGATGCACTGGATAATTAAGAACTTTTCAGTTTGTCTTGGAACCAGAGGCCTCTAAGCGACCTTCCTGGAGTTATCTTACACTGGGACAATGTTACTGTCTAGATCACATGCAAAGCTTATTATGTCATCTATAAAATCTTCCTAAGCTTGCACGATCGTGTGTTCCTTTTTCCATCGAGCATGTGTAGAACAAGATTGCTTAAAGATGGGCTCGTATGTCAGCACTCGCAGCTATCTCTGAGGCATTTTGTGAATGCGTACTGGAATTCGCATGAAGTGACATTTCATTTACAGACCATCTAGGGCATGAGAAACTATCTTCTGTCAATATGATATTCTTTCTGTTCCAAAGTCTGTCAAGTATTCATTACTGTCTTGCTTTGCATTGAGGTATTTCATGTATACTTTCAGAATAATGTCAGTCGAATGTACACTGCGGGGAAAAAAACAAGGACAGTTCTATATCTCCCGTTCTACTGGGCCGATTGACAAAATTCAACTTGCGTTTTTCATGCCTCGAAAGCGCGACTTAGGATATATATTAGATTTATATATAGTATTGTTCTAACATAGCTATTTTGACACAAAAGGGGACTTTTCTGAAATAACATACCAATTGTTTTCGATATTTCAATTCCACGACTCAAACTATGCCTAAATACTAAATTGTGTAAAATTTGGTGCGAAATTTACGGAGAAATTCAAAAATTTATCTTCGCACATTGTTTTCTTTTTGCGTCAAGAATAATTCACTTGGCGAACTTCTTAATATATGGCAACCTAATTTTCTTTCCCTTCCATTCTGCAATAGCTGAAAAAAAGTCAAAGCGTTTCTACATTCTAATAATTTTTAGAAAGTGCCTAAACCACATTTGATACTATTATCGCTTTCAACAAATATGCCAAATTTCAAAACGCACCAATATATAAATCAATTCACGTATATCTTCGGAAATTTTGAATAAAAAGCTATAATGTTTTGCAGGTATGCTTAAAAATACATCTACTTTAAGATTATGGTAAAACGTTTCTAGATTATAATTCAATTTTTTTTTTCGAAAAATTTATAAAAATTATTTAAAAATACAAATTTAAAAAATAAATCAGGCAAATGGGCGAGTGTTGTTTGGAATGAGCCTAAATTTCGGAAGGTGAAGGCGAGAATCAAATAAGTTTAATAAAAAAAAAAGGTTATTATAAATATATACCAAACTCAATTAATATTGAGGAGCTAAAATTTTGAGAGCTTATTTTTTAAAAAAAACTACTCGTGCGATTTTTACAAAACATGGCAGTTTGGCGTAATTTGAGTCGTAGAATTGAAATATGGAAAAACAATTGGCATGCCATTTCAGAAAAACTCCGATTTTGTGTCAAAATACCTATATTAGAACAAGCTGTATATAAATCTAATACAAATCTTAAGTTGCGCTTTCGAGACATGAAAAATACTAGTTGAATGTCGCGAATCGGCCCAGTAGAACGGGAGATATAGAACTGTCACCCCCTTTTGTTTTCGCAGTGTACTTTACTTTTCACGACTTGCTTTTAACAGTTCCTTTTATATATGCTACATCCACTTTCAAGGAATATTTGGCGCTCATCCTATTTGTATACTCAGCTGAACTTAAACATCATCATCATTTCGCACGTTAAACAACCGGTTGTCGAATCTGTTGTCTATCCGATAACTCTTTCTTTGCACAGCAGATTCATTGAATTTGCAAGTATTATTCAGACTGAGCTATTGTTAATTATCAATATATGAATCTTGAAATAATTTGGTATTATTTCTGAATTCTGAGAAAATTTTAAGAAATTTCTGCCAAATTAAACTTGAAATTAATCTCTCGAGCATAATGGAAGTCGATTACAAAGTCTTTGAAAGAAATTAATATATATGAAAATTAGTAAACCTTTATGTACATTGTATATTGCTCTTAAAGCACCTTTTGTTGTTCCGAAGAGCAGAAAATATTATCCAATTAATAAAGAAATGCTTAATTGCTTGATGCTTGATTGCTAATCCCAAATGCTTGATTTAATTTTCTCTAGTTTTTTAACTGTAAATTAAATATTCTCAGATCTTCACAAAGATTTGTGAAGATCTTTATGAATCTCAAATCTTCACAGAGATTTTTGAAGATTTGGAAATGTTCCCAAATCTTCATAAAACAGAGAAACTATTTTTATGCGTAACCTAATAGTCTGAAAATATTTTAAGATTGCCTGATAATTTCGTTTCCGGTATCATCTCTCCCTTAACAAAATTAAAATTCTCAGTCTAATTCGAATTTGTAAGAGTTGAAAAAGTCTCTAGTGTAAAGAATGCCCGGATACTTTATGTGAAAAATGTATTTTTTTATTAATTTCTTTTTGAATTTTTAAATCAGATGGAATAGCAATAAAAAAAAAATGTCGATACCTGTTTACTACCATGTCCTTCTGTTCTGTTGAGACCGCTTCCTCTTCCACAGAGCCTTACTCCTATTCTGCAATAAGCAGCAGCCATGGTGGCTCCAGGAATCACGAAGACAAGAGTGAACGTCGCAAAGGCGAAACCTTCTCTAGCCGATGATGTTGACCAATTCTCCACGCAATACACGAAAGATAACTCACGACTATGACAATAACAAAAGTGTTAAGACATTACCCTCAGACATTACATGAATTTTTCTTAAAAATATTTCAGTTTGTTTACATTGACATTCAGTTTTTTACCTCCATCCCCAAAGTCGTATGTGGCAGTTTTTTATCAGCGCTGGTTTGACCTGCTTTCTTCTATAAACTATTAAGGGAAAGAACTGCTTCAGGATGAAGAAAAACTATATATCTCCTACCTGTGTGTTGCACCGTCACCACCGAAAGAACAAGGCCTTGGCACTGGCATCTTGGCGTCACTTGTAAAGAGTAAAGGAAAGAACGCGCTCGCACCTAGTTAATGCTGTGTAAGTCAAATGAGACTGTTTCGCTTGTTAAAAATCCCCCTCATCCAGCATCGACATTAACATTATAGTAATTGAGCGGGTTTCTTTTTATATTTTCAGATGTAAGACAATTACTATAAATTTGTTTTTAAATTTTAAGTTGTTTTTAAATAATTCATATTTTGTTGCAATACGTGCACTTGATAAACAATTCTATAGCATAGCAAATGTGACAAGATTCGTAAAAATGTTCATTGAAACAGCTTGATATTTAACATTTGTTTCCATTCAAACATTATTTATTTGAAACACTGTAGTTATTCAGCATAATAAATAATAAGTAGATATGATATATAATTCACGCAGTTCTGAACTTTGAGTACTAACTTCGGAATCATCATTAGATCAGTCAAGAATAACACATAATAATACCCTAAAAACTGCTGCAAAATTATTTTCAAAATTTTAAGATGTTTCAGAGCCCTCCACAATCGGTATTGCTTACACTTCTAAAACATTTACATACATAGGGACAAACAGAATACCAAATAAGGTAGAAGATATAGATATGTGATGAATAACGAATACCTTCCTTTTCACGAATAAGATTTGAGAGTTGTACTACAATGAATGCTACAGTCTTCCGCTGATCGTCATTATTAAGTTTTGAATATACGTACAAATAGCTGTTTTTATAACATTATAAAACAAATCTTCGTTTCGTGGCTTATAAATATTTAACAAAGCATCTGAAATTTCATAAAAACTGTTTACATCATTTATTACTTTAGGATATGGCTTATATGTTATTTTAAACTCTGAGTTGCCACTAAGAACACTGCGCTTTAAATTTATGTTACTATAATTTTATGTATCAATACCACTATATCATAATACTTCTGTGCACGGAAAAATTTAATTTAACTTTATGTCTGCTGGTCGAATTGCTTGTTTTTGTGTAGAAACTCTTAATTTTAACTGTAAAAATATTTGTTTTTAACTGCATTTGGTGTTTTATATTTTTCTGTATTTTACAACTTTTAATCCTTTGCGGCACAGTGTGTCCGGTCTGAACTTATCTAAAAATTTCCTTCTGTACGCGCAGAAAAACTGAATGAAAAAGGATTTATCGGTTACTATAGGTTACTCTGAACCTTCTTTATTTATAGCAGATGGCAGCTCAACACAAAACAGTCCATATATTTTAGCCATGTTTAGTTTTTTAAGACCCTCATTTTTCAAAGAAATCTTCCAGATTCTTTTTAGGGTATAAAAGGAATTGTTTGAAAAGAAATTTCTATGTTATTTTTTTTTGGATGTATGATAATCTCTTTATTCTATATTAGTTTTCAATTTTTACCTTGAAATCTTACCTAAAATCAAACGGCGAACACTAGATGTGCCCACACAGGGCTCACCGATAATCTAGGACAACTGAGAGTCTGTATTCTTTTTTTCTCCGCATCTCATCGACAGTTCATTGACAACAATGTTCGTTTCAGCACGCTTTTCGAAGCTCTACTCAATCAGTGTGCCCACTTTGGGCACACCCAGTAAAAGATAAGTGCTATCTTCACAAAATTTTACTTGTGTACTCCTATAGGCCTAATTCAACAGCCTACCTTTTTTTTTTTTTTTTTTTTTTTTTTTTTTTTTTTTTTTGCGTGCCAGAAAGGGTTAATGAAGATGCTTTGAGATTTTATGTGCCGTTTAATGATGTTTTAATGAAGATGTTTTGAGCTTTTATGTGTTTATATTGGGTCAGTAAATAAGTTCGTGCGCATTAAGAGTATGCGTGGAATTCACTATGACGCATTTACTAAAACAATACAGTTTTGAACCTGTTGAAACTTGTCATCGTTTGACTAACATATTATTCACTTTATCACCAATTTTCGTAAATATCGAACCCATTTTAGTACCCTTAGAAGATAAATATAGATAATCAGTACAAACGTACTAAGCTACATTTTTTATTTTCGTGTGGTGAATCTGCCAGGTTTGCAGCTATAAAAATTAGTAGTGTACATATTGAACACACTATTAGTGTAAGGACTGCCCAGAAATGGTTTAAAAAATTTAAAGTTGGAAAAAGCAGCATTGATGATGAACCCCATTCAGGACGTTTTGAACCGCTAGAACCAAATGAAGCGATTAATTCAGAAGTTTACAGTGAACAACTTTCCCGTCTGAACTCAGAATTGATCAAAAAACGCCCACGATTGGTGAATATCAAGAAAGTGTTGTTTCATCATGATAACGCTGGACCGCTCGAACAACGCTGCAAAAAAATTAGTGAATTTAATTGGGAGCTTTTGCCACATCCTGCTTACTCCCTAGATATTGCCCCAAGTGATTTTCACTTATTTCGTGCCTTACAAAATTTTTTACTGGGAAAAAATTAAATTCTGAACAGGATGTACACAACGAACTTTCAAGTTTTTTTTTGCATCAAAACCAGAGTCTTTCTACAGCAATGCATAAAAAAGCTGCCTGTAAGATGGCGAGACATTGTAGATATTGGAGGAAAATATATAATTGATTAAAATGTTAAATTGTGTTTTTTTATATTATTTAAAAATTTACCAAAAAATGCGCACGAATTTATGGACTGACCTAATATATACCGCGAAGTGAGAACTGAATTAATTGAATAAGAAATATATCTCTAATGAAATTCGAGGAAATAAGAATAAATGAAGTGCAGCAAAAAAAAAAAATGTGTATAATTTAATAGGTCGTACAAGGAAATTATGTGGTGTTCACATCAGATATTTAAAAAAAATTATTCCACGGCATTAGGAATATTATTAGTTCTCTAATATTTAATTATTTAATTAACCAGGCTCATGCCAAGTGATCTTGATTTCTTTTTCGTCGGTCTCTATTTCTTTTGCTGTCTGTGGATTCAAAGGATTATTCAAAGGATATTATCATTTCGTCATCTGACTCTTCCTCAGTTTTTCATTTTTATCACTTTTTCAATCCATTCAATAAATTCGTTTTCGGAAAACAGAAATAATGAATTGTTCGAAGGAAGACTTTCAACCAATTTCCACAACACAGCATGTTTGGTGATTGGAGTATCAGTATTTTCTACTCCTTCGATAAAATTTTGCTTCGCGGATATTTGGCCACATTTTTCGTAAGAAATTTTATAATATTGCTCTGTTTAATATTTTCATGAAAACGCAGCCACGGAAATTGCATCTTTTGTACTGAAATGCTTATGAGGGCTCAATGTAAATTAAACCGTGTCTAATGTAAATTAAATTGAAGTGACATAATTGAATGACACTGCCGACATTCATTTGGTTTTAAAGTGGTAAACAAAATTCAGTAGATTCAGATGGCCAGAGATCGAATAAAATTTTATCTACGGATATACAATATCTTCAACTCTTTATTTACACATACTTATTACTCTTATTTACATATACATATGAACTCATAAATAAATCTCACGGGGAGGGAGAATTGATCTTGACGTTTCGATTGGCAATAACGTTTTAAGTTGCAAGGGCAACATTTTTTAACCTATTTTAGGTATTAAACTGTAAGGTTTATCCTAAGGTTATAACAGTTAATTTTAGTTAAAGCTACTTTCCTGTCCTTTCTAAATTTCAGCTTACAATTTCCTTCCAGAACGTGTTTTCAGAATCGCCGTTAAATGCAAATGAAGTGCAAGTACTTAAAGTTGAAGTTCTACTAACTTTATTAAAAAGCTAGAGATTCTGACTAGCGCGCGTTCGCCTTTCGGCTGTACTCTCTCTAAAGCTATTTCTACGCTCGGCCTTATTTCAGGCCCTTGATAGCTTTGTTGTTTAGTTAGCATTAAGGGGCCAACTCTTGCAGAACCTTGATAGCTTCGGATATATCTCTTTAGTTAAGTTAAATTTTATTCTTAGTATTCCTGAGTTCAAATCCAAGTGGAGGCTTTGCTGTAAACTCCAAGAAGCAGTCAACTGTTAAATTTATTTTGAATAATAAAGGGTAATTAACCCTTCGCAAGTTTACGTTTCTATCTTTCTGAACTAAGCGATTATTCGCTTACCAGTTCTTAAGGTTCCACACATTTAGCTGTACATTCTAGGTTGGAACATTACAAAACAAAAGATAGAATTTAAATTTAAACTCTAACGATCTGAGCCCACAACTCCGCTACTACTAAATTAATTTTAGTCGAAGACACATTAGCGCTAAAGATAAGATGGCAACAAAATAGTTTCGGTGCGGCGGGCTGAGGTTGCGAACTATTTCTCTAGACTTAAATTCTCGCAAGTTTACTAACTAACTTTATAACTTCCAAAGATGTTTAGTTAACTAACATTACTTGTTCTCAAACCTAATGACTGACCATAAGAAGTTAACTACAACGGTTGGTGCGTTATCGCTCCTTTTAATACTTACTATGAAACGCAAAACAAAATTAAAAAGGTTTCATTTATTTAACTATGGCAAAGCATCAAGAGCTATCTGCCTAAGGGGAGGTATACCTTCGTCGAAGACGTTCTGAGGGAAACTGGCTCCATACAAGTTACACATGGGAAAAACCTCGAAAATGCAGCCAGGCGGCTCGCGGGATTCGAACCTCGGACAGAACTACCAGTGTTCAACGATTTTACCGTTCGGCCAATGGTGGGTCTCTGAAACTTGGAGGTCAAAGAGCATTGTTATATACTACTTGCATTATTAGTAAAACAAACAACAAAACAAATTATATGCAACTTAATAACCAAACAAATAAAGCGCCTTCTTGCCGATTACCAGTTGCACCGATTAACAACTAAGCTACAGTCATCGACGGGCATATTCACAAAGCCTACAGACCATTTCTCTACGGGCTGCTCTCATTGGAGGAAACATCTGCTTGGCGGTCATATTTGGAATGGCGAGTTATCGCCCTGTAGGCGTAGTAATTAACGCAAAACAAACGTTATTTCATTCGATATTATTTTAGTTTATGAATGAAAGCTTAGAGGAATTGTGTGGAATATATTTTAAATAATCTACTGATATTATTAATAGTTTATTTGTATTTGAATTTAAACTTTTAAAAGTACGTAATTGTTTTACAAGAAAAAAGTGTTTACAAGGAGATAGCATACGCACTTTTTCGTCATTTCTGTTGTGTAAATTTCCATAGCGCATTAATTTATAAAGGAATATTAAAAAATTAACCAAAGGAAAACATTCAGTAAACATTTAAGGGCGTCGGATACCTATTCTTTTTACCTAAATTATGAGTAAGTATAACTAAAATTATATTTTATTCCATTATGCGCTATTTCTACTGAAATGCTTTTCGGGATCTTGGATAGTAATCTTGCTACTGGTACCTACTACTACAAAGAGTACAAAACCAGTAAATAAAAATAAGAAAAATTAAAATTAACAAAATAGAAAAAATAAAGGTCGTTTAATTTTTAACACCGCACCCGAAGGGCGAAAAGACAAATAATGACAAAGTCATTCAATAAAGTTAAGAATAAAAATTAACGCGTGCAAAGCAGAATTTATGAAAGCTACGAGTGGGGATAGAACCGGCGATTCTAGAGGTCTGAGAATTTTTTTCCGCGCTCGTTAGCCACTGTGCTGTGGTTTCTCCGGTGGAATTGTGCACAATTTTTCGTACACCGACGCTCAAATATGCAAATTGTAAAGGCGATGAACTAAAAGTCGCCAGCCAAGCACTAGATTCTGTAACCCTACGTTTCCTGTTTTAACCAATCGGAGCAAACAGCAGAAGAAACGGTCTGTAGGCTTTGTGAATAAGCCATCGACGGGTTCCCATTTCCAAAAATTTAGTCACGCTTGCAGTACCTTTCAGTCAGACGGATTCTAACACTTATTGTATCATCTAACTTTGGTTGCCATGATTTTCTACTTTGTGGACGGCTCAGAGCCGTCCACGGTTCGGGGCTCGAATCTCGGCGAAAGGGTCGGCTTCATGGCATTTTCTTAGTTTTCTCCATGTGTAACGTGTATATGTTCCAGTTTCCCTTAGAAGGTTCTTCACGAAGGCATCCCTCATCTTAGGCAAATAGCCCTCGTGTAATTTGCCATAATCAAATAAACCAAACCTTACAATGAACAGCAATGCAATGGCTAGAGTTGTACCGAGATCCTGGTTAAGATTATATCCTAGTTTAAACTTACGCCGTTTGTCGTACAGTTTTCAGAAACTTCTATTCTGAGAGAGTAATGTGTTGAGACGAGACATAACGGAAAGAAATTAATGTTAAGTTAGTAAAACTAAATAAAAAATTCTTTTGCATTATTGGTGCACTAGATGAAACAATAGAAATGAAGTAAAGATTGAAGATAAGAAATAACAGCTTAGTTAAAATAAACCCTACAAGATAATTTTTTTTGCATAATTGACATAAGAATAGTAATATCGTCTATAACGATATTTGTAATAGTATTTTTCAAGTTTCTACCGGCCAAGTTTCACGAGAAAATCATCAAGACAAAATTTCACAAGTTTATGAGATCAGTTTCTCATTTACCTGGTCCCAGCATGGAGAATAATGCCGTGTGTCTTCCGGACTATCAGAACTGGTACGAAAAGTAACAACGCCAGCAGCCAGACCAGAATAATACTCCATCCAACATGCCTACGGTAGAGATGCTTGCGGAAGGCAATGGGATGACAAATGACCATGTATCTGTCCAGACTCATTACTGTCATTGTGAAGACACTGGCTGCTACAGCAACACCTGGAAAGGAAAGGATTTGCTATAACGCGAAGCAAAACAAGTAGTTTCAGATGAAATATAAATGGTTCAGTATGTGGTGGAATTTCGAGTAAAATAAAATACCTAATTAATAACATAAAATACAATCCTTAATAGGTACTAAACGGTGGTCATTCTTTGACTTACTTTTCAAAATATAGCAGTATGTTGTTGACTAATGCTCACTTGTCCGACCGATAGTCAGCCCAAGCCCACGAAATTCCTCGTAGCAAGGAGTGCAAGATACGCCTCTCGTTGGCAACAGCCTTGAGCTCCTTACAGTTGACAGTGCAATTTAGCTCAGTTCCTCCTGATGGAGAGCACCCCAGGAGAACGAGCCCGAGGGTCTCCCATCTTTCTTCCCTACAACAACCTCTCGGGAGGACTTTCGGGTAGGCGCATATTTAGAGTGCCCCTATGTCGCATGGACACTATACATTTACAAACATCTATGCCTTCTCCGGGATTCGAACCCGGGCCCTTCGGAACGGCAGCCAGCGACGCTAACCACTCTACCAGTTGGGCGGTTACCAGCGTGTTACTTAATCAGTAACTGAAGGAATCTGTTTTAATGCATTCAGCCTTGTTCTTATAAACAATGTGCTTACTAAAAATTGTTACAAATTTACGCACTTCTTGATAATTTTTATGTTAATTTTGTTCTCTCTCCCACCAACATTCAGGTTATAGTAATGTACTATTTTGAGGTATTTAAAGACTACATGTTTCTTAATAATTCATATATCATGATATTTCAGGATATATTTTTACTCTTACAGTTTTAAGTACCTTATCTAGTTGATAATTTTGATAAGCATTTATTTCTAACTCTCGGGGGAGCGACTAGAGAGCGCGTCCCCAGGTGGCGGATCGGGGAATGCCTCCATAGGTTTATCCTTGGGTGGTAGGAGGGAAGTAAAATACCTCCCGAGGACCAACAGGCAGAAGTCCAATCTCTTCGAGGCTCTGGCAGCTTCTTTTTCTATGAATTGTAATTATCTCTCTAAGGAAGATCAGAGTTCCAAGGGCATCATGATCTTCTCTGACTGCAGATCAGCATTGCAAGTGATCCAGAAGGGCAAATGTCAACTCAGTCATCAGATCATTGAACTCGCAAACAAAATCATTGCTGCCCAAAGATCCTGCATCTTACAATGGATACCGGCTCATGTAAATATTTTTGGTAATGAGAAGGCCAATGAGCTTGCAAAGGCATCCCGTGATTCTCCTCAGCCATCCAACTGCCTAACCCTCGCTGATGCCAATGCAGTTGCCAGTCAAAGACTAATCGGCCAAGTTAAAGGAAACTCCATCCTGGAATTGAACTGTGACAGAGCCATATCGCCTATTATAACCAGACTTAGGACAAATCACTTAAAAGGGATGGAATTTCTGCAGACGGACAGTGTAGTTACACCAACATTTGTCCTCATTGCACAAATGACATCCCACTGTCTCACCATCACATCTTCAGCTGCCCAGCAATCTAGGCCAGACTGTTTAACATCGGCATTGAAGACCCAGTGGACCTGATTTATACTGATAGAGCTGCCGAGGTTGCAAAAGCTGTCTTTGACAACTTCGAAGCTATATAATTGCACTTTTTCATAGACACGACATCATCATTTATTTCTAAAGAGTAATTTATATAAGATGTATTCATTGCACTATATTATGAGCATTGCTTGTAGAAAACTCTTTTGTTTACATATGGTAGCGTCCAAAATTATCTTTACATGCCTAAAAAAACTGATTTCTCAAAATTTGAATGAATTTATTTAGGGTGATAAATGACATTATAACAAATCTTTGGTTGGTTAATTTTAATTAAGTAAAAGCATATAAGAATCTGCCAGCAGAGAGATATCTTCGTGGAGGACTAGATTGCACTTATTGGATTACGACAAAGCAAATGAGGGTTGTTTGTGTAAAGGGAGATGTACCTTCGTGGAGGGCATTTTATGGGAGCCTGTCTTATGTTGGTATGAGGAAAACTAAGAAACGTTTGTACAGTTATCCCATTCGCATGCTATGAAGCAAGTAAAACCGAAATACAGTTAACTCCTGATTTACCGAAGTAATACAGGAAATAACATCCATGATTAACTCAAAATCATTTTTAATAACACGGGAAAGAGGAATAACCCGTATTATTATTAATGTGAAAATAATAGTAATAATTTACCATTATCTGTTAGCACTTTAGCGCGGAAACAAAGTTTATGTGATTAGGTAAATTAAACTGGTATTCAAAACAATAAGAACACGTTATAAATAACAGAAGAACAATCATCATTAAAAAAGTGGAAAATAATAAAGAATAATATTTGCACAAATTTAACAGAGTCTTTAATACAACGCGTGTAAAAAAAATTCTTTAATTTTTTTTTTTTTGTGCTATGTTTATATGTATCTGATTTACGCACTTTTGGGAATAAAACCAACTCCCAGTATTACGACATCATCTGCTATTACCCTACGTGTTTTTCCACTCCTTTTTGTATCTTCCAGTAAATCAGAGAACAGGTAGCTGTTCCGTTTTGAGCTTGTGTTACTTATCCTATAGATAAGCAATTTATTCTTGTTATTTCTTTTTTCTGTGTGCATTTGTTTCGAATATGCTGATTACAAAATACAGATATACAACATAGTATATCACACACAAAGTTACATTTATACTCTTTGTACGTACACTGCGGGGAAAAAAAAGGGACAGTTCTATATTTCCCTTTCTACTGGGACGATTGACTAAATTCAAATTGCGTTTTTCATGTCTCGAAAGCGCGACTTAGGATATGTATTAGATTTATATATAGAATTGTTCTAATATAGGTATTTTGACACAAAATCGGACTTTTCCTGAAATGACATGAACTCCTTTTTAAAAATTTTCTAAACTTGTCTAAATTATCTATCCTGAGAAAACTTTTCTAACCTTAAATCTTAATAAACTGGGAAAAGTTTCTAACCTTAAATCTTAATGATCTGAGCAAAATTTTCTAACCTTGTAAGTAATTAGCCAGTTTGCACATCACTTCACCGAATATCCATAATTTATATGTATAAAACCCAATAGCCATTGGCATGCATAGGAGTGACACCAGCAAGTCAGAAACAGCCAGTGTAATCAGCAGAGAATTGGATAGACATCGCATATGCTGGAACCTGTAAAACGAATAAGAATTATTTAACACTTTTGTTACTTTTAAACGTATTTTTATTTTTTAAGATTTAACAGCTTATAAGCATTTGACTAAATAGGCACTGCATTTTAGTAGAAATGTAATAATTTTACTCCTTTTTTTGGATTACTATTATACAGTGGTTTCAAGCAGGCGACTTCCGAAGCAATTTTATGCGGCCCGCGAATACATCTTGAATGTTAAGAAAGAGGTTGAGATTTTAATGGTTTTGAGTCCAGTTTTACTTTGTTTTCATTACGAGTATGGGTAACGTTGCGAAAAATATAGAAATGGAGCTAATTAATTTGATTAATTTTTATTAGTACTTATCAAAAGGTAATATCCTCAGTTACAAAATTTTGAAATAAAATTAATTGCTTTATTTGGCTGTATATTTACATGGGAAGAGTTTTTCCCCGTAGGTGAAAATTAATTAGGCTATGAAAAGAACCAGACTGTCGATGAGTATCCACAAATGGTGATGAAGATATTTTCTAGCAACTTTCTTCCAAGGTTACAAATTTTATGAAAATCGAAACGCATGAAGCAGTGTAACTGAAAGGTATAGTAAGAAACAGTGTTTGTAATTATTTACATGCAAATATAACTTTATGCGTTATAGAAAAATGTAATAAATAAAAGAAAGAGAATAGGTTGTCATTATTTATTCTCTAGTTTTGTCTCTCTTGGGAAGTTTTCGTACATTTCTTTTTAGTTTAAATTAAAAGTAAGTTATTTAGTGATTACTTCGATGTATTATAATTATTTGAATAAATGTCAATGTATAAATTTTAATATTTAGCTGTCATTTTAATTACAAATATTCTCGCAGGCTCGTCTTTAGATTTCAGGCAGAAAATAAGTATAGATTTGAATTTTTTTCTTTACAAAAATTTTCACATGTATATTTTGGAAGATATGCAGTAAATTTGTTTTATTTAATTCACAAAATTTTTTTTCTTAAAAAAGATACTTTACATTATTGTTATTATTACTTTTCTAATGCAGCTCGTCAGCTACTCTCAGACCGCGCATTTGGCCAGCGTGCAATTTGAGTTTGAGACCACTGCTCTATATGACTATAAGACTGGTTACAGTTCTCTGAATCTCTCCAATACTATCCAAATAGTGAAAGCTGATTTGCGTTTTCCCTTTGGGAGAACAAACTTCTCCGCAGGTGTCAAATCTGGTGAATAATTATTTAGAGCCGCGTCATGTTCCTTTGACAGAAATTGCTTCACGAGAATGAAATAGTATGATGGAACATTATAGCAGAATGGAGAACAGTTCTTAGATTGAATAATTTCAACCTTAATACAGTAAATTCTCTCGGAACTCTATCCATTCTGTCTTTGTAAAATATGAAGTTTACCAAATGTCCCCCAGGAAAGTATTCTTTATGAATTTCCCTTTCAATTGAGAACTTTACTCGAGATTTCTCAAGCCGAAGTTTCTGCGCCCACCTTAAATACAAAGTGGATAATTATCGTTTTTTCACATAATCATAAGCAAAGTACCAAGTTTCATCTCCATTTGCAAATTGTTTGAAAAAACATGATGAATGTCTGCCATTTGAACCAAATTATGACATGAAGAAATTCGATTTTTTTTTGTTCTGCTGTTTAGTGCGTGGGAGACAAAAGGAGATAACATTTTTCTTTTTTTAAGATCTTCTATGATATTTCTGTCATTAGTGTCTTTACTGGCTGTCATTCGAAGAACAGGTGGCAATTTTACAGCAATAGTTGTAGAATTTTGTTGATGTTCTTATCTGTTCTAGACTGCTAATTCTAGGGTTCATCTTATCATGGTAGTAAATGTACAGATGTTACAATCAATCACAGCAATAAGAAAACAACTAGATTTGAAGAAACTGTTAAATATATGCAAATATCAGCCTGTAACAGATTGAAAAGTACAAAATCAAATTAAAGAAGGCTAATTAATTTTTTTCTCGATTCATGTGCAAGAATATCATAAATTGAGAAGGTCAATACGCATTTTGTAAATAGTTTTACCAGCCTGCAATATCAGTGGAATTGAGAACCTGACTTTATGACGGAAAATTCTAAGCATTTTATTGTAATGAAACTAACTACTATCTTGGGCATAATGTAAGGGACTCATACTTACCTCCAAAAGACTATAAGCGCTATGATGTTGGCAGATGTGGCCACAAGAAACGTTATTACATACAGGGTGACAAGAATGATGTTCTGCAAGTTCGTGAGAGTCAGCCTTTCACGACAATATTCGTGCAATATGAGATCGATTCCCTCCCAAACACCAGAAACATTTGGAATGGCTGTGCTGTTTGGCGAACTAACGTTGAGACTCACACGAATCCACTCTCTCGGTATATCCATTCTGAAAAAATAGAAAACTTATTAAGAGCATGTACACCAGATTTTAAAAGCGTGTCAGTGCCACTGATCGATCCTTCAATATTGCTTTCAAATAAAATAATGTCCATTCTGTAAAGCTACGACGCTGGTTCCAAGGAAAAGGGTTACAAGGGGTAATAAAATATTTATTAAATGTAGACAGAAAATACAAGAGGGAATTAGGAGCCCTACTTTTCTACCATTTTGTTTTTCACATAATCACCAAATATATTTAAGCATTTATCTGAAAGCAGGACCAAACTGTATAATCCGGAGTGGTAGAAATCCCGTCTCTGCTGATTGAGCCAGATCTCGGTAGCTGTTTTCACATCACAGTCTGAAGAGAACCTTATTGCAGATAAATTTTCCTTCAGTTTCGGAACAAGGAAATAGTCACTGGGTGCTAAATCTGGGCTATATTGGGATGACCCCAGACTTCCAACATTTGCTGCAATTTTTGAGTTTGGCGAGCAATATGGGGTCGGGCATTATCATGCAGGAGAATGACACAGCCACTCAACTTGCCAGGGCACTTGCGTTGGATGGCTTCACACAGCCTTGTTAAAGTAGCACAATAACGATCGGTAGTAACGGTACGGCCACGCTACAGGTACTCGATCAGGATAACGAATCACGGCTCCCACCCTCAAGCGAGACCACATTTTTAAACGGCTTACTCAGTCGCTCTCCACGTATCTGTGAACTTATTCTACCTCACCGCAAAACCGCTGCTAGTCAACCAGTGTCATTTATTTACATTCTGAGTTGAAAAGTATTCCGCCCACAATAATTACTTTTCAAATGTTGATGCTTGCAACCTTTTGTTTTTAGATCCGCCTACGAATCTAATTAAATGTACTTTAGGCAAAAAACAGATAGCATTTAAATATCATTGTGGTCAACCATCGACATCTCTTGCAAATGTGATTAACGCAGATGAAGGAAAGCTTTCTTTAGTGTATTCCATTATTTAAATTTAGACTGTGTTAGTTTAAAATGTAGTTTTATATTATTCTTCGTTTTGCATTCTGAAATGTTATTTTCCACACAGTGACTTCTGGTGTATTACACAACAGTAAGAATGAAATTTCGTAAAGCTGTGGTCTTTACGACACAGGATCATGAATGCCTTCTCTCTGCCTACCATCCAGGAGCTCCATCAGTTGATAAGTCCGCTAACTTATTTATAGGATATTATCTTCAACTGATAAAAATATATCTTGTCCTGTAGTACATCCTGTTAACAGCATTATCTTTACCAGCTCCTCTCTTATTTCGAAATTATCAAAAACCATTCTTGCAAAAACGGCCAACTGATCTGTGTCAACTATATAAAACGATTCGTTAAATTGCAGGAAGAAATAATTGCAGTGGTCAAAGTCAGTTCTAAGTTGTGAGATAACGTCAGAACTCCCAACCTCAGTCCTTATCATTACTGTATTTGCAGAAAGCTGTACAGATTTAATAGCGCACATTATCTCGCATTTATTTTTTAAACTATTAAATAATACATCTGCAGCTTCTAAAAATGCAGTTTTGATTATTTCACCGTCTTCGTATAGTTTCTTATTCTGGGCAATATTACTTAAAAATCGGAATGAGGCCTCAGTTGCTGTTTTATTCTTGTTGAATGTTTTTAAAAAAAATTTATTGTTGACCATTAAGTTTAAATTTTAGCTGCCTTACCTTTTCTTTCCTTAGAACAGAACTCAGTGGGAAAAACCTTTTCAACCCCTGCGTGAACGGTTTTGAAGTGACGTTTGACGTTCTCTTTTCTTTCCAAATGATTCACTTAACATAGTGCAGTAAACACACACATTTGTCCGTTACCTGGGTAAAGATGTAATCAGTTTTCCATCCCGAATGAGTGTTACGCTTTTTGCGTTTTGCTTGAACACGATATCATTAGAATAGATCTAGCTCAGCACCAATGCGTAAATCAAGCTATCCAAATTAGCAAATGTCTAATATACACACGAAAAATTAACGTGCACAACTTTACGGGTATACAATCAACTATGAGATGAAGTTGACAATGGCAGCTGCACGGGAGAAACAAGCAGTTGCTGTCAGCTGCCCCTGTCATCAGCATCAGCTCAGTGGAGGAATCAAAGTTAGCAACCGGAGTTTTAATGCGATCTACTGAAAATGTATTGAACTACTAGTAGCTTGCGATCGACGGTTTGGCGATCACTGGCCTAAACATTCTAGTACAGGTACTGATCATGAAGAATTTTGGTGAGATATTCTTAGTCAATTAAGGTACAATAACACGCCGAACAAGCATTACTTTAGAAGTCAAACAACAAAAATCAGCGTTATATTTTCAAATATTTACTGGACTAGTTTCGATGATTTTACCGAACCATCATCCTCAGCTCAGCTCAGAAAATCCACTGGACTTTTTAGAGGCATTTCACATTAAAAAAATCTTTCTGTTCTGGTTAACGACCCTTATTCCAATCCATCTTTGCCTTCAGCCTTCAAAGAAATTATATTTTAGTTCTCGTTTCATCAACAGATGGCACCAGTAGCTTAACTCCTGTTCAGTCTTTCTTATCTTATCTTATCTAATTACTATATCTTATCTTGTTCATTTACGCTTTTACAGCTAAGTATGGTGGTTCGGTAAAACCATCGAAACTAGTCCTGTGGAAGTTCGAAAGATTTTTGTTGTTTGACTTCTAAATTAATATTCTTAGTCATTCAAAAAAATTAAGGTAAATATTTTACTGAATTATTTTGGCTATCTAATGATTCCGATGGACACACTAATTGCCAAAATAACAAGACCGAGAATACCTGTAACTCGGTTTAGATTTAAATCATGGTTCGAGGTTCTTCCTAGGTGTAACGTGAATGCGAACCAGTTTCCCTTAGAAAGTACCTTTTTAAGGTTTTTTTTTTTTTTTTTTTTTTTTTTTTTTGCCTCTACTTGATCTCTCGCCAATCTAGAATTTGTGCAAGATTGTTTGATATTGGGTGAATATACTGCCACCTTCAAGAAAAGAAAATGAACTGTAGATTCCAATTAGCAACAATTGGTTCACAATATCTCATGTGCTATTCGGATACTCATAGAACATATAGAATCATTACAATGTCAAATTCAACGATGTAGCGCCCAGAACGAAGAACTCTTTTTCTTATTAAATATCTTGTAGTTATTTTATCTTACTGGGAGGAAAATTAAAACATTTAATCTGTATAAAATTATTTAATTTGTTCAAGCAGTACCTATCTGAAATAGTTTATCTGTTTGAGAAGTTTATTTATTCATTTATTTGAACATTTCTTTATGACGTGGCATTTTGTTTGTCAGGTAGTAGCCATTCGGCTTGAAATAAAGAGCTTAGTAAAGCGCTATGATAATACTCAGTTGTATTTCACGCTATAGATCCCTTTTGCCGTCTTGAAAAATTCTGTCTCCGTGTTGTTTTTACGTACTGTATTATTATTATTTTTTTTTGTCCTATAGCAATGAATATGTGAGACTGCATATCATCTGATGTAGTTCAGCTTTTACGCTTATCATTGCGTTAATATTTGAAATAGCTAGGAAAAAAATTCTTCTGATTTCTTTCTCTTCAGTGTCTGTTGGCCTGGTTTGTTTGATTAACTATTGTTAAACTGCTCACAGATTTCGCTTTAAGGCAGAGGACATTTTTCAGGCAGAGTTTGATCAATTTTTCTTCTTTAATCTGATTTTAATATTTGCTTTTCTCAACATTTTCTCTTTCATATTAGATTTATTTTTATACGATATTTTAATCCCATAAGTAATATGATAAGAAACCGATAAAAAAATTAAAGAACCGTTTGCACATCCTCATTTTAGAAATTAAAAAAAATTTCTTGCAATTCAATGAATTTTTTTCGTGTTTTAATATCATGTTTCTTTGTTAAATTGTAAAACAACTGATTTGAAAAGCGAGGTTTCAGTTGTAGAACGCATATTTATGTTCATACAACCCACCTCAATTCTTCTTATTATTGGCCTCACCAATAGCTGAGTGGTTAAAACCGCTGAATACTGGTAGTTCGATCGGGGCTCGATACCAGCAAAAGGGCTGGCTGCATAGTTTTTCTCATGTGTAGCATAAATATGAGTTAGTTTCTCTGTGAAAGCCCCTCACGCAGACAGTCCTCTTGTGCTTTGATATCTACGTAATTTCTTATTATTATAGAGGAAACACTGCTATATGATTTTGGCCACATGTATTAAGAATCAGTTTGTAACTAAAGACATTACAAGTTATTAGTACTCATTAATATGCAATACTCATTAATTAAATGCGAATAGGAATATGTCAAATAGCATCTATGTATATAGAATTTTCAGTTTGGGTGTAATTATGTCAGTGGCTTTTAAAGCCACAGGATGAAAGGAAAATAAAAATTGATTTTCACTCACATTCTCAAAAAGAAGAATTTTTTTTTTTTTTTTTTTTTGTATGTGTCGAGGTGTGTAATATATTGAATGACGGACAGAATTTATTAATTGCAGTAATGTTATAAATATATATTAAATTACCAAACTTATGTGAATTAAATATTTAACTAAAAAGAAAAGCAGAGATAATAATTATTAAAAATGACGTTAAATGCCTTTATATCTCTGTGTTTTATGTTACTACAAATGTAATTTAAAAATAAATTAAAGATTTTTATATTGCGTCGAATGGCAACATTCCGGAAATCAGCTATTTCTGAGATCACACGAAAGGTAAATTATGTCGCGGAAACTTATATCAGATACAAACATTCATGTATTATTTCACGTTGGGGAAACGTTTATGTAAGCGTAGAGACATTAGGTAATTTGGAAGTAGGAGAAATGAAAAATGAGCAACGCCTTCACCGGCGTTCGAACCACGGGCCTCTCGAATACATACCGAGCGTGCTGACTACTGCACTACGAAGACATGCTAACAAGGCGGGAGAAATACTTTATATACTCTCCCTTTAAAAGGGCGACTGGAG